TGTCCTTACTCTGCTCTGAGAAACATACGGTTTGAGACCCACATAGATACCTAGATACCAGTCATATTAGACTTAATGTTTTTTATGTAAATTGCACAGCCCCCCCCTTGCTATTACCTTGCTTGTTCAATACGCATAAAATGTTCACTCTTGTGACACCCCAGCCAGTGAAAAGGGAGATGCAGGCAGGACGATCTATATCTCCCGTGACCCTCAGCAACATGTCGTTATGCTTGCTAATCAGATTTAGAGACAACAAGTGAAAGCATGGCCTCTCTGGGCCGTTTGCTTTCACAAATGGATCTGCTTAATATGGGAGATTAATAGACCACTATCTAATCTACCCTGTGATTAAACTATGATCTGGTTACAGAGTAAAATGATGGATGTTGAGGTGGCAGTGTGTAAGAGTCATGTTAACCCTTTCAAGACAGAAAGGCTGCTTTGCTAGTTATTGACTGTTAAAAGACAATGCAGCACAGCAATCAAAACAAGCATGTCCACAGGGCTGCTGGGTTATTAGCAGCAGTTTGCAAAATCGCTTCTTTCAGCTCCCAGCTGTGCTACATTAGAATCTGAACTAATTCTAGTGGCTGTAAGAAAATAATAACACTGGTCTTGACTATTCTGTGTGTTGTTCATCCCACTATTATACTCATTCGATTATCTGCTTGTTCTTTGCAGAGGCAGATCAATATATCACAAGCAAAATCTTTTGTATTCCCCTTCTTTTTGTTTACATGACCTTCTACTATGATATTCTACTGTATTTGAACTTAATCTTATCAGCAACAGTTACACAAAATGCACATTGGTTCTGAACAAAATAAACAACCTTCTTAATTGGATCCACTGGGGCTATTTTTTGCTGCAAATGTGCCAAAAATGTGCAATCAAACTGTTGCTACCTGCAAAAACAGACCTCATCCACATTACAACAGACACTGTCAGCGGTGAGACGAGTGTTTGCAATTCATGTTTAATGGATCTAAAGACCAATATTTTCTCTTGTTATGAACGAAATGTCTTCTTCAGATGTTTCAGGTCTTTGATGTTTGAGTGGGTTTTAAAATGGCAAATGAGCTCCTGTGTGTGTATTGTACTGTTTCTCTGATTTTAGTTGTAAAACACTACGATGATGACATCATTACTGGGAAGGCTTTATAATACCATCTCTCTTAGTCTCTATGTGTCACTCAGTAGACTCAAGGTCAGTACTTCACTGTCTGAACAAACTGTGGCTGAGATGTCCTTGAGAGAAAGATTACATCCAGGAGTACCTGCTGATCAATATGAAGATAGAGTGAATATACTTATATGACCTGTTGAAACAAGAACAGTCCCAGGTGTTGATTGGAAATCACATCCTGGCCTTATGGTCAAATTTGAGTATAAAATTCTTCCCTTGGTCCACTTAGTAGTAATTTTCCTGTGTTTTCAGTCACATTTCACAACCAACATTTTGTTTTTTTGGGTTAATCATACCATTCCCAGGGTCATTATTGAATATTTAAGCTCAGTTATATGGTTCAGTTACAGGAAAAATGCCACTGACTCTCAGTCAGAGATGTCCTCATTTCTACAGTGTTTTTGTGTTGCAGTGTAAAAGACACAAAAACAAAGAAAAGAAAAAGAAAAATCCTGTCATCTCTGACAAGGCCTCGTTAGTGGCTCCGGATACATAATGGCTGCTGCCTCACAGGCAAACTAATTATGAAGTACTTAACAGTCTGAACCTAAGTAACATCTACCAGGCTGATGTGAGGATGCGAGGATGACAGGCATATGACCACCTTCTTCATTTTGCTTTGATTTCTCTTTTTACATCTTGTTCTTTCTCTCTTTATTTATCTTCCTCTCTATGCATGTCCCTTTCCATTCACTCCCTCTGCATCACTTTCTGCTCTTTGTGTCTCATCCCCCTTTCTCCCAGTTCTCTCAGGAAACCAGCTGGGAAACTGGCCTTGGGATATAAGCTGGAAGCATACAACCATATGCTAGATATTTTCATGGAAGGTGTTTGTGTGTAAAAAAAGCAGGAGGGGGAGGGGTCTGACTTCCTGTTGTACTACCTTATAATAGCTAAGTAGGACATTTATCTGGTAGTGGTTTGTCTTCCCCTGTTGTGCTTGTGTGGGAGTTCCTGAGCTCTCTCTCTATCCCACAGATAAAATGCCTTCAACACAGAGAATTTCTGTTGCTTTCAAATGCACACACATACATTGTAAACCATACGGGCAAACTGCTGAGAGGGGGCTGCAAGAGACACTGACACAGCTTGCTCATTAGACAGTTTCTTCTTGGACTGAGGCCAAATATCTCCAGGTCATAAACTCACTGATGTAACAGGCAATGTAACTCACTGATCTAGGGAAGCTACACATCTCTTTTTAGGACTGCCCTTTATCATCATTTACTACACTCATGGTGCACTTTGTCTATAAATATGAAGAAACACAACATACAGTAAAGGTGCAAGCTGCCATGACAAAGGGATCATCTGACAAACCAAAATAAAAAATAGCTTTTTTTCCCATTTCCTTACAATTTGAACAGTTTGACTGGAGGGGAACATGTAGGTCTGATAAATAGTGCCACAAGCTTCTTAATTTCAACTGCCAGTGACTTCACCAAGAGGTTCAGCTACTGTATTTTCGCTATTCCAGATTCCATCCCCTCTGTGCAGATGCCCCAACCAACCAGTAAGAGTCACTAACGCAGCAACAAGAACATGATCCTGCTAGTAAAAAATAAAAAGACAAAAACAACAGATTAAACCTTAGTCTATGCTATGGTGCACTATTCATTTTCTAGAAAAAAAAAATACTTGTAAATCTTCCGTATTTTAGAAGAACATTAGAACCTTTTGGAAAATATTTCTTGCTGAGTTAGATGAGATCATGTTAATGTCTCTGTTAAATATGAGAGAGAATGTGTTAATACACGAGCTCTAGAGTTGCTGTTCAGTGGAGGATAGGCTAATTGTTTTCAGTTTGTCTGCTGAACTAACGTCTCCTGGTTCTAGCATGAGAGCAGGTGATGTTGTCATCTAACTCAGCAAGAAAGCGAAGGGGCACATTTCCAAACAATGCCAAACTAATCTTCTCAGCTACAGTATTGCAAGATTTCAATTTGATCAACTGCCAGTTGCTCAGACAGGCTTTTTACATTTACAACATCACACTTTAACAGTTTCTCAGTAAGATTATTTACCATTTGTGTATTTATAAGCTGTATTTGCTGCTTATAACTCCTGAAAAAAAGAATCATTTTTGTGGAATTTTACGACACAATCCTGTAACCCACTCCACCCTACCCACGTGCATGTTTTTCTCATCTCGGGGTCTGAGAAAGAGGCAGGCTCCATCTCCCATTAACCTAGTGGTTGGAGAAATCAAAGTGCAGGGCAGAGAGGAGAACCTCAACCTCAGCCATTCAGATAAGAAGAACACCCTACACCAGCTCATAGCCCACAGCCCTGTAATATATGGATCTGCAGAGGCTAATAGCAATGTATTGACAGGGAAATGGTCTGCTTATCCTGCTCCTGCATGCTGGGGAGAGGTCCCCAAAGCAGATGGGATACACTTTAGGGAGAGGGAAAG